CTCAGTCCACTGAACTTCTCCATTTTTTTCTTTTTGACTCCACTTCAAACTTTCCTGTCTTTTTCCTACTGTTCATCCAAATGGGCAGCCAAAAGACACCAACCAAAACCAGCACAAAAAGTGCACAGGTAATGATTTCCACGAACTTAAACTAAAACTGAGGGATCTTTTGGTTGATTTTACGCATTCGTTTTTTCTCGTTCTTTTGATCGTTGCATATCAGCTCCCCTGGTGGACACATCCCAGTCAAGCAGTGAGAACCAAACCACCGATGTGGCTGGTGTTCGTGGTTCGCATTTATTCGGCGAGCGCCATCCTGCACCGCCCGCCGTCACTTCGAACGCACTGGTCTCCTTACTGATGTCCAATGCGCACAGTTCCTTGCGTCGAGCCTGCATTGATCTGCTTGGTCGTGGTTTCGTCGTCTGGGAACCGTATGTTGATTTGGGTCAATTGTTGAACGCTCTTCTCAACCTCGTGGTCGACGCTGAACAACTGCTATCCGAGTAAGTGTTTTTCTTTAAATATTTCTGTGTGGGATGCAAATAGATTACTGGTTCTTTTCGCTTTAACTCTTTCAGACGGCAAAAATTAATGAGTGACAACGATCAATCAATTGAGCTATACATTTGCGAAACTCGGAACATCCTTCCCCTTTAATTCATTGGATAAAACAAGTAACATAATATGAGTAGCACTAATAGCGACCATCAATTTCTCGTGCTCCCAATCAGCTGTCTGCGCGCAATAAATAAGCAATAAATAATCAAAATACCGTATATGGAAGTAGGTGTAGTTGTTGAGTAAGAACCAACTAAAGATGGGAGTTGAGTTTCAGGGAGAAGCAGATAGTGAATTAGTGAGTAGATAGTGATTTTGTCAATATCAATGATGTCTCTTATAAACATATACACCGAATTACACATTTTCACTTCAAAATGGTTCCCGTATCACCGAAACCAATAATGTGACTTCTTTGGTAAACCATCTCGGACTGAAGTACTGTTAGTGTGAA